ATTCATAACTCCTGTCCCCGTGGCCGATAGCGTTCAAATTTACAGGCGGCAGGATATGAACACTTCTAGTGGGTATCAGGAGCGGACTCCACCCAAATGGGGCGTGGTTTGTGAGAAATAAATGTTCGAGCGAAAATTCAGAACTCATGTCCCCGTGATCCTAGAGCACTCAAGCCCGGTAGGAGTACGGGCGGCAGGATCAGAACACTTATGATGGGTGGCAAGATCAGACACCGCCCGCAATGGGCGGGGTTCAAGCGAAAATTGCGCCAAAATTGTCAATTCGGCTCTAGAGCGTTCAAACTTGGTAGGAGTACAGGCGACAGGATTGGAACACTTAGTATAGGTGGCAGGAAAGGACCTCGCCCACAGGGGTGGGGTTTGCGCGAAAATTGACAATTTAGCCATAGGGCGTTCAAAGTATGTATTCCATTGCATGATAACTTCACGGAGGTACGCTTCTTTAGCCAGTCTGTCCTTTTTTTCTCTTAATAATCACCTTTGTGACATTGTACGATGTTCTTACTGGACACAGCGAAGATGGCTTACAGAAAAAATCGCTCTCAATTCGGAGCTTATACTGAGGGTGTAGAGCTTTCAAGGAAAAAGGAGAATCCGAAGAGTTATTTACGCATAGCAAATTTCTTAGAGGAAGGAGGACCGCGGGCCGACTGGTATGCTAATAAGGAGCCAGTCACTGAGTTGGTTTCACCCCACCGTGAGGGATCGTGAAAGCTTGTTCATAGGGGCTGGCAAGCTGCAAATGAAAATGAAGTAATACTGATACATAAAGAAGAAAAAAGCTCAATACATTTCATTTCCTTTTTGCGAATAGGTATGCCCCAAACCTTCTTCATTTCCTGCTGTGTCTTACAGTCCCCACACCATTTCAATCTGGGTCTGATGCATCACCGCCAATTGGGCGCCTTTGTGTTTGGTGGACGTCGTCGTCCGAAAAACGGTTGTATCATGACTCATAGGTGATTCAACCACAGATAACGTCTCACCATGGATACCGGTCCCCAACGCGGAAGGTAAACAGCAACCGAGCCACCATGATGGCAGTCGTTTTCGAAGTTCTGCATAACTTGAAAAGTAGTGTATATATTGCACAAGGCAGGTATTTTGGCACACAGCCAGGTCACCTGGGGAAGCTGTGGATCATTGACAACATTTAGGCGATCTTCGTTCAGTGTTTATAGGGGTAAAACTTAGAAAGCGCTGGAGGCAAAATCAAAGCTCAATGGGTGGTGCCAAAATTTCCTTGTAAGAAAAAGTGTAAGCAGCAGCCTTCGACGGAAGACCACTTTTTGCTTGCTTTCTTTCACTTTTTGTATCCCTCGGATTGATCTGACTAGTCCTACTGTGATGACGTTCCGACGCCCTTTAATATTCTTTTTCTCTAATAAGAAAAAAATTGGAAACACCATTTTAGCTGGTGTCTGCATTTCTGACCAATGTCTGTCCTGGACCTCAATTGGCTCATGCAGTCGAATGTGCCTCGTCAAAGGTGAGAATTTTTATCCATTGACGTTTTGACTTTGAAGCATTTGGTACTTCAGAGGTCCCTTTGAAGCCACGACCAAAATGATACAATGATTTTATTCGGCTAACGTTTCGGCCAATCGCCTTCGTCAGAGCCTGGAAGCCAAAAAATATTTGAGACTCATCCTGACCAAACGACGTTCATTTCGGTACTATAAGTGGGGAACGAACATATGGGGAAGGTTGAAAGAAGGTCGCACTTCCAGCAAAAAAGGTAGTAGATGACGGCGTCGTGGTGAAAGGTGCTCGAAAAGGGGCGTGGAATGGGTCGGGAATACTCCCAGCCCCGAAGTGAAAACGTGTATAAGAGAGGGCGCAGACAACAAGACGAGGGTTGAGCCACTCTCCGTTGCATGCCTACTGCCTCTGACGACTCCCTCAGTATTAGGTGGGATGGGGTGATAGTGCATTCCATCTACGTATAATGTTACCGAATTCGGAACTTTAGAGAATTTAAAATGGTCGATCAATACCTATCGAATCCACAGAGTAGATGAACAGTCTGAAAAGTCTGAAAAAATTGTATTCAGGTAGATCACACCCCGTGCTGTGAGAAAGCCGGCCTGTTGACGTTCCAGGGTGGTCGTTGCCTTACATTCTGCCGAGCTCATACAGCCCAACCGACAAATCCCTTCGAATTCCTTCCGTGTCTTCAAGTTTTTGAGTACATCAAGTCCTGCTATCGCCTCTATCAAACAACTAACAAAAATATTTTTGGTGATTAAGTTGAATGGCTTTATTCATTCCCCATTATGGTCTCTTTGCTTTGCAATTCTTGTTTACTCTTACTACTTTAACTTATTGTTTAGTTGCTGCTTTCTACGGGTCTTCTGTAGGAATAAATATAGAAATAAATGTTTACCGTGCACCTATCAAAAGAAATTCCAAACTATTATTGCTGACTATTCAATTTTGATATTTGGATATGTGGCATTATTCCTGACCAGCTCACAGCGCGCTGCTATTACTAGCTAGTTGTCTTACCGTATGGCATTCGGTTCAGGAGCAACGGATGTCGCCTGAGTTACCGTATTTTCTTCACTGTCTCATGCTGTCAACCCACACGAAAATGGAAGCAAGTGAGTTTTTAAATGGTTGTTTCAAATTTTGAAACTAGTCAAGGACCACTTTACTCGAGCCACCTCTACACATGCATTAATCACTGGTTACCTTTCCCCCTCCCCTTTGGACTCTCCGTTTCGCTCTCAGGACTTCCTGTCCAGGTCCCTTATAGAATGGGGGCCTCGAAATAAGCCATGGAGCTTAGAGGCTATAGTAAGAGTGACTGCATTCTGGGTTTTATACTTTGGATACAATCGTTTCCCTCCAATGGCTCAGTTCCCGTGGAGACCAGGCAAAAAACGAATCCCGTCGATGAGTATTCCTTCTAATAGTCGATCGTTTGCAACTATCGAATTCAGGGAACTGTTGATTGTATTGAACCAACCAAAGAACGCTCTCCAGTTTCGTCAATTCAAAAACGACAGACAGCAATTAAATTGTCGAATGACTAACCATTTCCAGTCAAGCTAGTTTACCATCGATTCACTTCTCATATAACTCTTTACCTAAGTACACCTACTATAGGATTCCTGGACTGAGAACAGCAGAACCACTTTATGCATCTGGCAAATTCCTTTCCAACACTGATCCTGACGCCCTATCCTGGCGATCTCTTCACTCCCGGAAGCACTATCTGCTTTTTGGCCCATTTTTACTCCTATCCTATGATCAGTTGAACAGTGATCAGAGGTGAACGGTATCATAATCATAGCCGACAGTCCACAATGCGATTTTGGCCTCCTCACTGGAAAGGCATCATTGCCAGGCTGTCGTATGTTGGGTGTATGTCATGGAGATGTAGCACATTCTATTCTGATCAGAAGAGTGTTGACTTCGCTTTATTGGGTGTATACGAATGGGGTCAGGCGGGGGAGACATCGATGAAAAGAAACGATCTCCATGAACTTTGTATTAAAGGCACAGTTCACGATAAAAACGATTTCTGAAATTTCCCACAGGATGAATTTGCGCTCCCTCGTATACCACACCCGGCGCTAATAGACCGGAAGAGGGCCTAGTTATTCTGTTATAAAGGCTAAAAGATTGTACCGTGTGTATCCTCGGACGAGTTTCACCGGCATTGTAGAGGCTGCACGGATGACAAGAGAACCCATGTGGGAAGTTCAAACAACTTGTCATGGCCCATAGCGACAGTGAAAGACTGTTCTGTACAGTTCTGACTTGATGTATTTAGCTCTTTGCGCAATCGCAACAACTGAAATCTCGTCAGAATACCCTTTCCATTTTACTTCCGTCATGGTAATCTCGTCCAACACCTTTTTTCCTTGTTTTTAAGAAGCCTTATTTTATACGAAATCGGTGAATTTTCTCGCTTTCTTCACTACCGATGAACTATTCCCAACCTATTCTTCCGCTTTTCGATTAAAAAGGGGTACTTCAAAATTATCGTGAACTGTGCTTTTGAGATAGAGGGAACCGGATGATGGCGCTTCATAGGATTAAATCGGTCTAGAGGATAAAAATACTGTCACTGTACAGTAGCCGGTCCTAGCAAGCGTTTTGTATAGACCATTAATTGTCTTCATGTTGCCTTTGCATACGGATTTTATTCGTGGCTAGTTAATTGCGATTGGCATAAAGATTTCCAGCGTACGGCTCGATACATACTGGTAAATGACTTGATGGTGAATTGAAACTCGTTCCATTGGCTACGATTTACTGCTCTTTGCCCATCGATCATAAACGATCGACAACGATACTTTCCGTCGGTGGCGGGGCTCTTCAGCATCAATTGAGGTCATCTACTGATTGATGGCCTCCCGCCCCTTTCGCCGTCAACCATTCGGCAGCATTCGAACGAACTCATCTATCAACCTATCGTCAAGAATGAATTTATCATAGGCATTATACATTCATCTACCATTGCAGCTGCACCCTTCATCATCCAATTCCCTCCCTCACTTTCAACCATCATTTTGCAAAGATCCTTTCAATATTTCATACCCCCATCTTTTTACCGAAGATCTTATTTCGCTTCCGATAAGATCTTCTTCATTCGTATGCTGGTGGTCCTATTCACTACGATGATTAGATTTCTGAAAAAGAAAGGTGGTTTTAGTCAAAAGTAGAAGTAGATGTCTCGAAACGAAGCAAACTTTATTCTGTCAAATGGTAAATTTGGTGTGTCGATTTACTGTCCACCATTACGAAAACCTATCACTCTAGCCACTGCGGCATGCTAACTTCTCGAGCGATCAGTGAAACACGTCTCCAAGCGTCGGGACACGCTGTCTTTTCCTCCTTTTTTCTCATCCTATTATTTCTTACTTTCCCTTTCTCCGTTCATTACCGTAGCTTGCATTTCTTCATAGTGTCTGCTCTTTTATCTGTTCCACTCTGAGAATGTTCCTGAGAATCCGGAAAAGAGAGTTAGAGGGCTATCTAAGAAAGGGCGGTTGAAACTTTTTTAGTGGGCGGAGCGTGCGCCGAAGTGGGCGGAGCTGAGATGAAAAGTCCACGGCCCTGCTGGACCGTTCTTTTTTGTCAAGCATTTTATGGGTGCTTTAGCTTAACTAGTGCAGCAGTGTAGGCTGCTCGAAATTTTTTTGATGAACATTGAGAAGTTTCTCCGGAAGGACCTAGAAGCGACATAATTAGGTTCTGAAAATGCAACAACCACGCCTTCGCTTTCCAGTTAGGCCTTTCATTTGAGGAGTCGATTCAGTGGCGAGTAACGCTAGTCGTCAGACTCCAAAAGCTCCGCCAACGAGAGCTCCGTCGTAAGATTCCTAATTCATAGCATTCCTTACCGTAATCTGATCATGAATCACAATAGACAACTATCTAGTCGGCACTCTGTATGTCACTCAAAAAACTGTAACTGAGCGGACAATTCCACGGCTACCCAGGTCAGGTTAAGAGACAGACCCCTTGCGTTCATTATTCATCCTTTTGTCTCCTTTCCTCTTTTCTTTTCTTTCCTTCACTACCTTTCCCGACATTTCCTGAGCTTTCCGAGGGCTAAGTGAGATTTGAGTGCTATTCCAGTCTTTCGAAGATATGAACCATCTTTCCCAGGTCTACACATTAGCGAGCTACCCAACTTACCTAGGCTGTGAGGGTTTTACGGCCTTTATCGGTATGAAGTGCGATTCACTGACCCGTAGCTGCGATAGGGATCCCTATACCACTACCCAGCTTCGTATTGTGCCGTCTATGGAACTGATAATCCCGTCCCCACGGTCTATCCCACACAGTGATTGCCCCTGACCTTCTGAACTTCCCCCAACTTATTCCGACTGTTTCCCCGGTGACTCCGTCGAGGTTACTCCCACATCCCCTATCAATTAAGGAATATACGCCTGCTCGTGCGTCCACATCCCATTAATTACCGGAAAATCGCATGCGACATATGGTTGCGTGTGCTTGTGCCCATTAGCATAGGAAAACCATCACGATGATCGTGATCGGCATGCTTACATAAGGGCCTTTTCAAATTTTCGGTCCACATCACCCTGATTACATATGTGACATATGGTCCGACTCAGATCAGTCCAGGGTGCTTCTAGAGATAGGCCAATTTTTGGGGAACCCACAGTGCCACAGAACGACTGGTGATAGGGAGGACGGTGAGCCACTTACAGATACCATAGGTGTCTTAAAGGATATGCCCTTTTCTCGTCTTGATTAGTTCAGGGTGCTGCAAGTTTCTGCAACAAAAAACTGGAACTTATGTCCGCCTTTCTGTAGAGGAATCCAGTTGATGAGAAGAGAAACGGAGATCTGGCTTCCCAAGCATTTCTTTTCGAAGCTCATCCTATAGGCTTTGAATTTGAAGGTGTCAAATCCATCAAGTTCTAATTGCTGAAGTAATGTGTACACTTACATTATTCTTCTCGTAAAAGCCTACCAAATGGCCACGTCGCTGTAATGGCGCCAGTAGGACCATCTGGCTGTTCTTGTGGGTACGGACGTGAACACCCCGAATGCCGAGATCGCTAGTTGTGGGTAACCATCATCATCAGGAGGCCATTAGCTGAAATATTCCTACAGAGGCTCCTAGAAAAAGCCGTTGGACCTAATCAAATTATTATGGATGGAGGGAATGCCTTCAGCATTGATCGATCCTCTTCTGGATGCGCCCTGCATACAACTCCTATCCAGAATCGTAGCGGCGTTTTTATTTATTGGTTTCAGGTATGCTCCCCCGAACAGGGGAGGGTCCCCTTCCCGGTAAGGTATGCTCTCGGGGAGAGCAAAGAGATAGATGCTTTCGGGGAAAGCAGAGAGAGAGAGCCGAATCGGGGCGTCCCAGCCCCGAAAGGGAGACATACCTTACGGCCCCAGACAGACACTAGCATACCTGTGGAATCGGAGACCGAATTTTCGGATGTTAGGTATTCCCTATCCCTAACAATTTGAATGCGTATGTGTCCTATACTATGACTTGCGGTGGTAGGCCGATCTCCAAGTTAGTGATCTTGCCTCCCAGGCCAGTCTTTGACTATTCTACCTGAGCCGGGGATGGAACACTTGATTGGTCTTTGTTTTACCAGATTCGATCCTTGGACTATTCATTTGATAGTGCACCTGGCTCTTGGCACTACTATACTGCACCCTTCCGGCTCGAGGTTTTTCTAGTGTAATTTTCTGATTGTAGTTAGCAGCTGCATGGGTTCCGGGGAGATCGTTCCAACTGCTC